TGTTCCAGGGAACACACGTGTGTCCATGGGAACCCCTGGGATGTTCCATGTTCCAGGGAACACATGTGTGTCTGTGGGAACCCCTGGGATGCTCCATGTCCCAGGGAACACACGTGTGTCCATGGGATGTTCCATGTCCCTGGGAACACGCGTGTTCCCTGCAGGGCTCCCCGTGGCCCCCCCGTGCCCCCTCTCCCGGCTCCGGAGCCCCTTCCCGGGCTGTCTCCCTGTATTTATCCAGCGCGGGGCTGATTAAGCCCCGGGGCCGGAGCCGCGGCCCCTCCCTCTCCTCTCGCTATTAAACTCCGGGTTCAAAGAAAAGCTTTTTATTCGCGCTGACAGCTTTCAGATGGAGCCAAATCTCTCTCTCCGCGCTGGAGGTTTTTTTTTTTTCTTTTCCCCCCTTGGTTTTTATTTTTTTTTTATTTTTTAAAATTATTTTATCTCTCCCTCCTCCCCTTTCCTCTTCTCGTCGCTTTTAAATTTAAGCCTTTCCCCCCCCCCCCCTCCCCCTTCCCTCTTCCCTCTTCCCAAGTTGTTCGTTTCTATTTATACGGGGGAAAAGCAAAAAAAAAAAAGAAAAATAAAAATACCCTCTCTCTCTCTCTCTGCTGGTTTTATTCCGCGGGAGAGAAAAGAGGATTTGGCTTCCTTGGGGCCCTGCCCGGCGGAGCGGAAAGATGGGAGAGGAGAGGGCGGGATGAGGCCGGGGACGGGTCCTGCAGACAGGGCACGGCTCTTGTCGCTTGTCCCCACCCCCGGGGCCACCTCGTCACCCGCTGCGGCAGCCCTGGAATAACCTCACGGAATAACCTCGTGGAATAAATTCGTGGAATAACCTCGTGGAATAACCTCATGGAATAACCTCGTGGAATAACCTCACGGAATAACCTCGTGGAATAACCTCACGGAGCCTTGGGGAGGCTCCGGGGGGGGAAACTGAGGTCGGGGTCGGGTTGAGGGTCCCGTTGCTTCCCGGGTCCCATCCCGGTGCCCGAGTGTCGCCGGCGGGATGTGCCGGCGCCGAGAGAGACGTGATGAGCCCTGGCACATCCAGAGCCCTCCCCCCCCCCCGGCTCCTCTGCGGCCGTCAGGGGCTATTTTGGGAGCCGCCGATTTGGGGCTTTCGAAGCTAAACCCAGCCTGGGCTCAGGGGTGAGGAGGGGGGGGGACACTGAGCCCCAGGGTTGGCGGCACAACCCGAGGGTCCTTAATTGGACCTTAATTGGACCCGTTGGGATGAGGAGCCTGAATTTTGGGAGGCTCCTCCAACCCCAAAAATCCCCCCCGGCGCGGCGAGGACGGGGAGGCACCAGAGCAGCACCAGGTTGACGTTTCCCGGGGAAGAAGGTCCCTCTTGCCATCAACAATTTATGATCCTCCTTTTCCACGACAACCCCGCGGTGACGGCGCCGGGAACGGGCCGAGCTGGGAAGGAGCTCGGGAAGGAGCTCGGGAAGGAGGAGCAGCTTCTGCTCCCATTGGGAATCACTCAATGCCCTCTTCTATTCTATTCTCTTTTCTTTTTCCCCCTGGCTTTGTGACTCTGACAGGGATGGAAAAGCTGGAGCAGCTCCGGGAGGAGGCCTGGGATCGTGGAATCCCAGGATCACGGAATCACCAACGTTGGAAAAGGCCTCCAGGCCCATCGAGCCTGACCTTTGGTCACCACCTTGTCAACCACCTTGTCTGGTCATTCCATGAAGGCTGGGATGGTGATCCCAGACTTCCAGTCGTTCCATGACCCCTGGGATGGTGATCCCGGACTTCCAGTCATTCCATGACCCCTGGGAAGGTGATCCTGGACTTCCAGTCATTCCATGAATGCTGGGATGGTGATCCCAGACTTCCAGTCATTCCATGGCCCCTGGGAAGGTGATCCCAGCCAGGATTCCATCCCAGTGGCATTTGGGGGTCACAGCTCCGTGTCCCCCCCACCCCGGCACCGCTCCCAGGGGCCTCCTGACCCCAGAGCCACCGACCCCGTTTGACCAAACCCTCTCTCTCCCATAATCCCTCCTGCATCAACATTAATTAAATATTACCATCCTTTAATTCCCCATTAATTGAATCCCGCCGCCTGAATCCACGATCTGCAGGGAACTGGCCACACCCCCCCCCGTGCCAGTTGTGCCTGTGCCCGTCCCCGTGTGCCAGCGGCCTCAGAGACTGGTTGTACCCATCCCTGTCCTCATTCCACCCTCCTTGGGGGCTGGTTGTCCCTGGCCCCATCCCTGTCCCTGACCCCATCCCTGCCATCCCAGCATCCTCAGTGGCCAGTTGTCCCTGTCCCTGTCCCCATCCCTCTCCCTGTCCCTATCTCTGTCCCCATCCCTCTCCCTGTCCCCATCCCCATCCCTGTCCCCGTCCCTGTCCCCATCCCTGTCACTGTCCCCATCCCTGTCCCCATCCCCATCCCTGTGCCTGTTCCCATGCCTGTCCCTGTCCCTGTCCCTGTCCCCATCCTGTCCCCATCCCTGTGCCTGTTCCCATCCCCATCCCTGTCCCCATCCCTGTCCCCATCCCTGTCCCCTCCCTGTCCCCATCTCCATCCCTGTCCCATCCCTGTCCCTCTCCCTGTCCCCATCCCTCTCTCTGTCC